AATCATACGATTAAATCAAAATTGACATGTTCTCGTCATTTTTCTTGAGGTGATAATTTTATATTAAAATAATAATTTTTATTTTATGTTAATAATTTTAGATACGCATTTGTCTCCAGCAGGGGAGTTGGTTTTTATTTTTTACTTTTTACTAAAGTTGTCACATTTTTTTTTTGTTTAATTACAATTTTCATTAAATTAATGACTTTTCGATATTCATTCAAATGAGTTTCCAGACAAGTTCAAATGCTGTTCTTCCAAACGCAGCCTTATTATCGTATATCGTCGGTAAAGAGAATACACTGAACGTTGCTTTTGTTTTACTACACTGCTCGCTTCCGTTAGGAAGCTGTCTGCGTCTTTTGGCGGGAGTGCGGGCCCCACCACTCCCAATCCGCCATTAATCCTTCTTCTATGTTTCTTCTCATAAATACCTCTATAGTCTGTTCCCTTCTCTTCCGCCACCTCTTGTATACGGCGGCAGCCACCGTTTCACCTCCACTCCTCCGCCGCCTTCCTCCGCACCTAAATACCAAAAAAGGAGTGGAAAACCGGAAAACTGGAAAAGTATATATATATATACAAAGTGAAACTTCTTTTTTGGATTTTTAATTTGTGGAGGTTTTTGTGGGAGTGTGATGTGATCAGTGATTATTAGAGGGGAAAGCGATGGCGAGATTTGTTGTGTGTTTTATACTTTTCGTTTTGTTTGTTTTTTGGGCTGGAATTGACGGCGGAGATTCGCTCTCTACTGACGGACTGTCTCTGCTGTCGCTCAAGTCCGCCGTGGACGACGGAGGCGGCGCGGCGTTTTCCGACTGGAACGAGAATGACGATACTCCGTGCCGCTGGACCGGTGTGTCTTGCATGAACGTTTCCGGCTCGTCGGAGCCGCGCGTCGTCGGGATTTCCGTGTCTGGACAGAATCTCCGGGGTTATATTCCGTCGGAGCTCGGGAGTCTAGTCTATCTCCGGCGGCTTAATCTTCACGGTAATAACTTCTACGGCTCTTTACCGGAGCCTCTGTTTAATGCCACGTCACTGCACAGTATTTTTCTCTACGATAACAACATTTCCGGTACTCTTCCGCCGTCTGTTTGCAATCTCCCGCGGCTCCAGAATCTGGATTTATCCAACAACTCCATCTCCGGCGCGTTCTATAGGGACCTCAGGAACTGCCGGCAACTACAGCGGTTAATTCTGGCGAAGAACAAACTCTCCGGCGAGATTCCCGCCGGAGTTTTCCCGGAGCTAGCGAATTTGGAGCAGCTCGATCTGTCATCCAATTCATTCAGTGGTCCAATTCCGGACGATATCGGTGAATTAAAATCGCTTTCAGGAACTTTAAATTTATCCTTCAATCATTTCACTGGGAAAATCCCCAAATCCTTAGGCGATTTACCCCTCACTGTTAGCTTTGCTCTTAGGGACAATAATTTAACAGGAGAAATTCCCCAAACTGGTTCATTCGCGAATCAGGGCCCGACTGCATTCTTGAATAACCCAATGTTGTGTGGATTCCCTTTACAGAAGCCTTGTAAAAACGGGTCTGAAAATTCATCAGGAAGCCATGGATCATCACAAGAAAACCCGAAATCTCATTCGAGAAAAGGGCTTAGAGCGGGGTCGATTATACTGATATGTTTAGCCGATGCAGCTGCAGTGGCATTCATAGGACTAGTAATCGTTTACTTGTACTGGAAAAAGAAAGACACTGGAGGAGGGTGTAGCTGCACTGGTAAAGAGAAATTTGGAGGGGGAGAGAAGAGATCCTTGTGTGCTTTCCCTTGTATTGGCGCAATTCCAAATAATGATTCTGAAGTGGAATCCGAGAAGGGGCCTGAAAACGGTGGCAGTGGCCCCGAGGGGGATCTCGTGGCGATCGATAAAGGGTTCACCTTCGAGCTCGATGAGCTGTTGAGAGCTTCGGCTTATGTGCTGGGGAAGAGCGGGCTCGGGATTGTGTATAAGGTTGTGCTCGGGAATGGAGTTCCTGTCGCGGTTAGGAGATTAGGGGAAGGCGGGGAGCAGAGGTACAAGGAGTTCGTTGCCGAGATTCAAGCCATTGGGAGGGTGAAACACCCTAACATTGTGAAGTTGAGAGCTTATTACTGGGCTCCTGATGAGAAGCTTCTTATCAGTGATTTCATATCCAATGGCAGCTTGGCTTCTGCACTTCATGGTAACTTCTAAAATCATTGCTCAATTCCTTGATCCTATCTAGTTCTTCCCTTAACTGTCTGTCCTGTGTTATTTGACATATTTCATGGTACAATTTCTTGATCTTATTCTGGTTCTTGACTAAACTCACATCTTGTTCTTAAGACTGCAGAGAACATTCATTTCTTTCTTAACTTTCTGTCATGTGTTATCTGACATATTCATGGTACAATTTCCTGTATTTCATCTGGTTCTTGACTGAACTAATATCCTGTTTTAAGACAGACTGCTGGAAACATTGATCTGTGCTTGCAATTCATCATTTCTTCCTTAACTGTCTGTCATTTATTATTTGACACATTGATGGTACAATTACTTTCTGGCTAGCTTAAAGGAAGCAGTAGTAGTAGTACTAACTATTTCTGTGTCTTTTCTTGTGGTATTAGTGGACATGTAGCTAATACAGATCATCTGATTTGAAAGAAATGCAGGATGTGACACAATACACGCACCAAATAATAGTATTCATATGTTGTAACATAGTACAATTAAAGTGTATCTGAACTAAAAGTCTAAGCTGGTAGTTGGATTGCACATTTATGTTTATATATATATTATATATGTTCAACAGGTACAGACACCAGTTAATGCTGTCCATTCTTTGTGACATATAAATGCGTCCACATGCCCCCATTGATGATAATGAACTAGCCACTAGGCCCCCCTGTGTTCAATGCCTTTCTGTCCGTTAATATGGCAGAATGACTTACAATCAAAGTCATTACCCATTAGGTGATCTTTACCCCACATATTTAAGAGATGTTTAGGATCATGATTAAGGATATGTCTTGATTAATACATTTTAACACAAACATGCTTCTTGTATACTACAAGTGAGTTATATAGTTGTGTTTACTTTAATTCTCCAATTTTTCATTTCTCCCGTGGAGAATTTCTTCAGTACCCGTACTCTGTTCTTTGGTCTGACTCTGATACCAAATTGAAGCATGTGTTTCATCTCACCTAAAAGCCTAAGCTGATTATATGCTCACCAAACACCAGGTCCAACTTTTCTATTGACTTTTGTAGTAGATTTTGTTGTAGCCGAAATCCTTTGCCCCAAGGACCTCCACACCCCGACCTAGGACCGGACCAATTTACTTTAATTCTTCAGTTTTTCATTTCTATGTTGGATTGTACAGGGAGAAATGGTCAGCCATTACCAAACCTAACATGGTCTACAAGGCTAAGAATCGCAAAGGGAACAGCCCGGGGCTTGGCCTATCTCCATGAATGCAGCCCCAGAAAATTCGTCCATGGAGACATAAAGCCCTCCAACATTCTCCTGGACCGTGACTTCCAACCCTACATCTCCGACTTCGGCCTCAGCCGCCTCATCAACATCACCGGCAACAACCCTTCATCTTCCGGCGGCTTCATGGGCGGCGCCCTCCCATACCTGAAGCCTGCGGCGGCATCCCAACCCGACCGCCCCAACAACTACCAAGCCCCGGAAGCCCGCGCCCTCCCCGCCACCCGGGCCGCGCAGAAGTGGGACGTTTACTCGTTCGGAGTCGTCGTGCTCGAACTGCTCACCGGAAAGTCCCCGGAGCTCTCGCCGTCCGCCACCTCCACCTCCGCGGAGATTCCGAACCTGGTGAAGTGGGTGAGGAAAGGGTTCGAGGAACAAAACCCTCTGTCGGACATGGTGGATCCCATGTTGCTTCAGGAGGTACATGCGAAGAAAGAGGTGTTGGCGGTGTTTCATGTCGCGCTTGCGTGTACGGAGGAGGATCCGGAGATCCGGCCCAGGATGAAAACGGTGTCGGAAAATCTTGAGAAGATAGGAGCATAAGATGAGATTATGAGATCGAATATTGGCATCCGTTTTTCTGTTAACATTCTTTGGATGATTGGATCGATCGGTGTCGTTTTCTGTACTTAAAAATTTGTTTTGATTCTCTGTTCCTCAAAGAAAGCCAGAAAGGGCAAATATGAATATAAATCTGTACCGCTAAACAAAATTCTTTATCATTATTAGTATTCATTTCACTTTAATCTTGGCAGCTTTGTTTAATGTTCATTTTTCATTAGTATGGTAGCTGCCAAGTTCACTCTTAATGAGAGCAACATATTTTCTCAAAGTTGAATTAATTAATTGACTTTTAAAGTATACTTCAAAGATTTATTTGACAAATTTTCCCTTATAAATTTGATAATTGAAAAGAATTTATTTCACATTTGGTCTCATAATTTTTGAGATCTTATCACTTTTGGTGCATAACTTTATATTTATTTAAATTTGGTGTCTAATTTTGTTATTTTTAAAGTTTTGGTCCTTCTGACCAAATTGACGGTGAAATGTTGTCGAGTTTTATATAGGAGTAAAATCGGCATCCCAATAAAACATTTTCAATATCTAAACAAAATCACTGTAAACTCATATCTATAGGTGTTTGATCGATGAGAATAATGGAAAAGACATGCCCAAACACAAATCTATGAGATTTAAAGCGTTGATGATTGACAAACCTTTCTTTTTCTCTTAATATGACTTTTATTTTCTTTAGATATTGAAGATCTTTCATTGAGATGGTAATTTTGCTATTAAAATATAAAATCTAACAACATTTCACCGTTAATTTAGCCAAAAGGATTTAAACTGATAAAAATAACAAAATTAGGCACTAAAATTGAAAAAATTTAAAATTGTGTACCAAAAGTGATAAAACTTTAAAAGTCGTGGGACCAAAAGTGAAATTAATTCTAATCGAAAATATTATTTAATGAAATTAAGAGTTAACAGTCAAAGTAGTAAACTTGTTATAGTTGAAGGACCATGTCTGCAATTTACACTTCTTCTCCCTCTCCGTTTACTTCCTCAGTCTTCTTCACTATCAACACTGATGTTACAGACCGGTCCTTAGACCACAGCACACCAACATGACCGGAAATTCTCGAAGAACAGCTCGGAGCAGGGCGAAGCCGGCGTCGGAAGATGATGACGATCGCGAAGTCCGTAGCGCGACACCTAATCCGAAAGTCCGAAGGAGAGGCAGGGAGCAAAGCTCAATTCGCATCCTCAATGTGAACCTCAAATTCCTCTTAGGTTTTGGTGTTATTTCCTTCTCGATCGCATTGATTGTCATTTACCGCCTTGTCAATCCGGCTGAAGTTCCTCAAATTCCCCGGGTTATCACTCCACTTCCCGCTCCAAAACTCACGGATCTTCCGATGGTGATGCTTTCTTATTCGTCTAGATTTGTGTTCAAGTACACTCTTTTCATTGTGCTTTTTGAATTGCGAGTTTTTGAACTCGGTGGACATCTTGTGATTTGAGAGTTGTAATTGCTGCAGTTTCAAGGAGAACATAAAGAAAGCTTGTATTGGGGAACTTACAGGCCTCAAGTTTATTTTGGTATACGTGCAAGGTAATTATTTTTATTACTCAAAGTTCATTTTAAAAAAGTGTGTTTTGCTCTTTAGAATAAATGAACATTGTTTTTATTTATCCTTGTAAAAGTTAAAATACTTCCGTAGAGCAAAGGAGATTAGTGTTAGTATTTGAGTAAGTAGAAGAAGGCATAATGCATTGCTTTTAGCTTGAGCTAGTTATAACTGATCAACTGAATGGGTACAATTTGGATATATAATGCAAATGAGCTTCCAAGTGAAATAATTTATATTGTTTGTAGAATGCTTCAGTTTCTATCAGATGGGGAGTGGTAAGCCTTAACTTATAGGGAATTATATGATTTTTCATTGGTGAAGAAGAATTTTAATGAACAAAATGCCCGTTGTTTCCATTTGCAGGACTCCACAATCTGTAGTTTTTGGTTTAATGTGGATTGGTGCAAAGGATGGAAGGTTTTTCATGCGCCATGTTTGCCAAGATTCAGATGATCTGAAAACGTATGGTTGGACACACCATAATGGACGAGACTATGGACACCAACTTTTAGTTGACCAAACAATGACATTGACAACAAGTTTTTTGAAGTCTAAGGCAATTGGAAGTGGGTATGGTGGAGACTGGGTAACTCGAATTGAGGCACAAGTTGATGAGTACTTCTCCTTACCCTTCTCTTGTGTTCTTTTCCTTTTTAAACTCTGAATGCAAATACCTTCTTTTAATAAAAGTTGCTCAAAAGTTTGCTGAATTGTCTGTGCTTATCTTTACAACTTGATGTGCCTTTTACTCCAGCAATATGCAAGTTGATTCTGCATATGATATATTACCTATTTGCTATGGAGCCACTGTATAGTCCGTATCTGCATTTCCCTTCTCTTAACCCCCTTCCTTCTTTTTCATTTTTAAAACCTTTTTTTTACAAAAATCTCTGAAGATTTTACTTTAGGCCCTTGCTTGTCTCACTAAAATGAATCGCCCACAATTTTGGTTTTGAGTACCATAGCTTTCCAGTAGTTTTCTCCTTCAGCATTATTAGAGGATTTTTCTTTCCTTCAAAATGTTAATGGATTTGATATCTTGTTGATAGTTTTATGCTATTCAATGTATTTGAAAATGTGATTTGTTCACAGATCTGTAGTTGATGAGGAAATGTTAAAGAACATGCACCTCTTTTTTTATATGGCTGATGAAGGTGGAAATGCTCTAACATTGGGTGGAGGAGCCATAGGCAGCAATCATGATTCTGCCATAGCGTTAGGATCTCATAGTGATGTTGGGGGTTGGCAGCTCCATATAAAATCAGAGGTATTGATGTATTGTATCAAACAAAAAATTTAGAATATTGTGGAATACGAAGGATTTTGATTTACTTGAATTATTATATTAGACTAGGCAACCATGAAATATATGTAAACTAGCACAATTGCTTTATACTCCTGGTTGAGGCTGGCTCTAAAGTATTTCATGATCTGCAATGACTTCCATTGTTCCTGAAAGCTTAGCATTCCTGCAATGAGAGTATGAGACTTTCATGTAATGAGGTTCTTGTTACCCATTAATGTTTCTTTTGCTTCCTTCACATATAACATCAAGAATGGTGTTGAAGTGAGTGGATTCATTTCATGCTGATCCTGATTTTCTAGTTTAGAGCTGTTAATTGGAATTTTATATTTTTATTTGCAGGATAATTTTGATATGCATTATTCTGGTTTCAAGACACCTCACATTCACAATTTATCTGACCTTGTCCAAGCAGATCTGGGAGTCAAAGTATGAATTGCTTAGTGTTTTCGCATTAGGGTATATATTTTCAATATCATGTTCTTATGCTTGTCCATATACTATCTTCATTAGGCAAGAAACTTTGGTCGCTTGGAGCTTTCAGATACATTGGATGACTCTTCAAATATTTTAGTTTTCCAGGTACATATCACCGACTAGTTCACTCTATGATTGTGTAGTATGACTGTTTTTGAACTAGATGTAATTTTGAATCTGCTTCTTGCTTATCCTTAAAACAATTCTATGTTTATATGTAGATCTCTGCTAGGATTTCTTTCAAAGCTGATATTGTTTTTGTTTCTGGAACTGGATTACAAGATTCAAGAGTTGAAGAGCGTCTTACCAATCTCGCAGGTGTGTTTCACATATATATAGCACAAAGTTATTATTGTTTGTTTGGTGACAAACTTATTGTTTTCTGAAATGTAATATATATCTTGTACTCTCAGTGTCGGTGCTTATAACATCATTCAGTTATTCCTGAAATTGAAGTCATCTGCATTATTCCAGGTGCCTCACTCTCCAGTCTACTAAATGAGAAGCAGAAGGAATTTGATGGCAAGTTCAAAAGATGCTATAATCTATCTGACCAGGTATCTATGCACAAGATGTTTCCTTTCATCATGTTCATATTCAGATTAGTGTATAGTTCGGAGTGCAATTCCATTTACCTCTTCATATAATTGGCTCTGCCAAGAAACTCCAGCTCAATACCAAATGTGAACATGGTTGTTATTCCATTTGACTTTGATATTAAGATTTCTATTTACGTAGCTACATGCCTTTTTTGGTTTTAAGCCTACTTGTGAAATATATTTGAATATTATATTGCATGTTACTATAAATAGGAAGCCCCCTGTCTATGTCTCATGCCTTTTTAAGTTTGTAAGATGGACTAAAATATAAAAAAATAACAAGTAGATGTTATTCCACGAATTTGAGTAGGAGGATTTCTGTACATATCTTTTCAAGTTTCTCACCCTAAAGCTTCTTAATAATTATTTTTCTTTAGCCTTCCTGACACGCACATTATAATTTATGTGAATTAGAAGTTAATTACTAAGTTTGTTAAGTTTTATGCTTTCGTTTTTAAATTTAACATCTGATCTCTTCTGGTGATTTAGTACTACTATTTCAGGAATGATTTAACTAAATAAATATGTGCTTAACTGAATTAGAAAGGAGATAGGTAAATGACAAAGTTTAGATCTGCATGTTTCAGACCTAACACAATTTTAACTCTTTTGAATTAATCTGTTTCCGAGTTTGTGCCAGGTACTTCCATCAATAGATCTGCTGTATGTTTATGTGATCTTACCTTGCATTATGCTGATAATAAATGGATGAATGCACATCTATTTTTGTGTTTTTAAATGTAGTCAAATGTACATCATGCGGTGTACATGTGTGAAATGAGAAACCATTTTTTGGTGGTCTTTAGAAAGTGCACTTGCATGTTTTACACAATATGTTACAGTTCTATGGTGAGGCTTTCATTGTTAGTTTTCTTTTTGGTCAGCTTGATTCTGGTTCTGTGACCGTGGGTAGGGATGCTCTTGCAAGCACATTGGGTGGAATTGGCTATTTCTATGGTCAATCAAAGATTTCGCTTCCGAAAGCCTCTAAAGTAAGATATCAATCTCTCTGCAAGTAAAAATCGGGATTGTGCTCTCCCAATGAGAGCCATGTTCTTTTGCTCAATGGTCTGCTACGAGAGTGTCTGCTTTCATTTAGCTTCAGCTGTGCAATAGTCCCAGCTTTTATCCCAAAACCCCCCACATTTGTTCTTATTGTTGATTTTAACAAAGGTTTCTCAGCATTCAGAACAGGTTCTCTATTGACAAGTAATTAGTTAAAGACACCAAGAGTGTACCACAAAAGACTTACAATGGTTTAATATGGCTTGAGGCACCAGAAAATGAAAGCCGAACACCAATATTTCTAAACTATCAGAAAAATTATGAATGTTTAATTTCTTGTGGTTAGTTTCTTACTTCACCCAATCAACCTTGCAATACTGAACCTGCAAACTTTGTCCTGTCCCTGAGTGATAATATAAGAAAATCTACCCTAAAAGTTTATACCAAGTTGCTTTTGGTCAAGGTTTTATCACTAGCATGGCTTTTGTGTAATGGTTTTGGTATTATAAATGGCTGTGAGTTTCGAATATTATATTGTTGATTCTTCTTATTTGAATAGCCATCAAAGTCATAGCTTGTTATTGACTCATGCAGCTTGACACGGGTGACAACTTTCTTTTATACTGGCCTGCTGAGTTATATACAGCAGTTCCCAGTAGACCCTTCTTTCCAAGGGGATTTTTATGGGATGAAGGTTTTCATCAATTAATAATTTGGTGAGTATATTCGTCATGTGTGCATGCTCTAGAAATTTTTGCAGAGATCTTTGCCAAACCTGATTGTTATTCTGTTCTGCTGACATAATTAGGCACTGGGATACATATATTAGCTTGGATATTATTGGGCATTGGTTGGATCTGATGAATATTGATGGATGGATTCCACGTGAGCAAATTTTAGGAGCTGAAGCTGTAAAGTAAGGGCAATACCGTCTTCTGAGATGCTTTTGAGTTTGCATGCATGCATACATACATTCACCTTTTTTTTTTTTTTTTTTTTTTTTTTTTTTCAGTAAGGTCCCTCAAGAATTTGTTCCTCAACATCCAAGTAATGGAAATCCTCCAACCTTGTTTCTGGTCTTACGGGGTAATTCGTCCCTCTAGTCTTTTATTTTGTCATTCTGGATAAGTTTCTTTTAGTGAAAGTGGTTATTTTGTCATGTGTAACTTTTGAACAATTGTATAGTATTGGAAATTAGAAATTGTTTGAACAGTATGTAAATTCTCTCCTGCAGACCTGATTTGTGGCATTAAGAAAAATAAGTTTGATGCTGCTGAAAGGAGAGACATTTCTATCTTCTTAGATCGAGCATTAATTCGCCTTGAAACATGGTTTAATTGGTTCAACACCACACAATCTGGTAAGTTTGCTTTTCAATAAATCATTCTGTTACGCCTCTAATACCTAGAGACACTAAATTGTCAACTGTAGAGTACTTTAGGGCTTTCTATGAGACTATATGTCCACAAGTGCATTACATTCACCACATGAAAATACTTTTTAATCACAGGAAAGGATTTCAGCAGTTACTTCTGGCATGGTAGAGACAACATTACTACTCGTGAGCTAAATCCAAAGGTTTTAATCCACAACCCATACCTGTATTTATCAGAATGAACTGAAATTCCCTTTTTTGAATGTTAGCTTTATTCCTCATTGATGGTAATCTACATGCACAAGTACTCCTCCTTTCCCCATTCTCCCCAAAGTTTCCTTTAATTGAGATGCATTTGTATTTTGTAAGGCTTCATTTTTGACAATGACCAATTGTTATTCCCTTTTCCTTTTTCTACTGGCATATTCAGACCCTGTCTTCTGGATTAGATGACTATCCACGTGCTTCTCACCCAGATGAAGAAGAACGCCATCTGGACCTAAGATGCTGGATGTTTCTTGCAGCAGATTGCATGCATTCCATATCAAAGCTTCTCAAAAGTGAAAGTGAACACCAGGTAAAAAATATTTGAAAAAATAAAAGTCTAGAGAATTCATGATTGTAACTCATTAAGTCATATAATGAACTTTTGCAGGAGTACAGGTCAACAGCAGAACTGCTTTCAGACTTTGAACTTCTTAATAAGGTATGATAGTACTTTCTTTTTTTTTTTTTTCTAAAGGAAGAGGAATACATCCAGGATTAATAACTAATCCTCACAATAGTCATGCCACCCAAAAGGCCAAGTTCATCTTCTCTTAAAGCTTCAAGAATTGCTCCAGGGGGGTGCTCAAACCAACGGATGGTTTCATCATGCTCATAAGCTTTCTTAGCCAAAGTATCGGCCACCTTGTTTTTCTCTCGTGGTGCATGAATGAACGTAACCTCCCAACTTCTCCTCTGTGCCTCTCTGCATTTCTCGATGAGGTTAGCAGCCGGACCTTCATAATCGTTGAAGTTGTTGAGGATGGAAATTGCCTTCGCACAGTCAGACTCTATGACCATCTTTCGGAATCCCATCTCCCATGCTCTTTCCATTCCAACATGTATTCCCCAAAACTCAGCTTCCATGGCACTGCAAGCACCAATCTGCTTGGAGAAGGCACCTAGAAACTCAGCATCTTCGTTCCTAAGTACTCCTCCACATGCAGCTCTGTTTTGCTTTCCACTGCATCCATCAACATTTAATTTGATCCAGCCTGTTGCCGGTGGTTTCCAAGGTTGGCTGCGTCCCACCTCGCTTCTTTGTTTGCTTCCTGGTTCCAAGCTTCTATAAAGTACCTTTTCAATGTCCTCGACTTGTCTGTGAAGTGTCATCATCTTTTCGTTGATATCTATCTCCACTCCATTGAAAATGCAGTTATTCCTCCATCTCCATATCCACCAAGCAGTGATGGCGAATTTTGCACTTCTCTTCTTGCGCTTCATATCGCCACAAGTACCTGCAAGGTTGTGAGTCAACCACGTATCAAAATCCATTGAGAAGAACATACCTGAGTTGTCCACCACATTGCTCCTCTCCCAGACTGCCACCGCTGCCGGACACTTTCTGACGGTGTGGTCGACGTCCTCTCTTTCTGCCCCGCAGAGGCTGCATCGTTCATTCCCTGTGAAACCACGTTTGTATCTCTCCAAGTTGCACATGATTCTCCCTTGTTTTGTCAACCAAATGAAAGATCTAATTTTATTAGGGACTCTGAGGCTCCAGACCGCCGTCCACCCCTTCGACTCTGTATTACCATGATCAGAGTTTAGAATCCTATAAGCTGTCTTCGTCGAGAAGAAATTGTTATCTTCCAGGCCCCATCCTACAATGTCTTTCTTATTCTCATCATTTAGGATAACCTTCGCCGCAATCGCATTACGTGCGTCTTGGTTAATTCCAACATCAATATTTTCCCAGCTCCACGTTCTCCCTTCTTCCCAGACATCCGCCACCCTTAAATCCTCAGCATCCTTGTTGAGGGGCCCTATAATGCTTTTTCTTAGAGCCTCCCTTCCTATCCAGCGATCAGTCCAGAAACGCGTCTCCTTGCCGTTCCTTACTATTTTCCGAATGCCTTTTTTTAGTAAGGGGGTGGCAGCGCAAATCCCTTTCCATAAGTTAGAATCATTGCGTTTGCGTTTCATATTTTCTATTTGAGTCCCCTTCCTCATGTACTTGCATGCAATGACACTGGCCCAAGTGCTATCTCCTTCCTTCAATATCCGCCAACCAAGCTTGGCTAGGAGAGAGAGATTCATGCTTCTCATTGATTTAATTCCCAAGCCTCCTTCGTCCTTAGGTAGCGTAACCGTGTTCCAGTTGACTAGACTCGTCTTCCTCTTAGTGGCATCACCTCCCCAAAGAAAAGTTCTCGTCCTCTTGTCTATCGTGTCGCATACTCCTTTGGGAAGGAGTATTGTTTGCATAGCATAGGAGGGGATAGCATTGAGAACTGATTGCGCTAAGACTTGTCTCCCTGCGAGACTCAAGAAGCGCGTTTTCCATCCTTCCAATTTATTTTGGACTCTATCCATTATGCTCTTACAATGATCTTTCGTAATCCTTCCGTGGAGGGACGGGACTCCAAGGTATCTTCCTAAGTCTGCAGTCTCCGGGATTCCAGCTATATTTGCTAAGCAACTCGCTCTTTCCCTGCAAACATTAGTAGAAAAATATATATTCGACTTTAATTTATTAATTTTCTGGCCAGAGAAACTGCAAAACCTGTCGAGGCAATCCATGATTGTTCTTATTTGACTTTCCTCAGCTTCTGCAAAAAGAACCATATCATCTGCAAAGAACAGATGGGATATAGTTGGTCCATTTGTTGAGGCTTTAACCCCTTTCCAACGCCCTTGATTAACCGCCTCCGTGATGATATGCCCGAGCCTTTCAATGCAAAGGACAAAAAGGTAGGGAGATATGGAATCTCCTTGCCTAACTCCTCTCTCAGGTTTGAATCTGTCCAGTTTCTCACCTTCCCATAGAATTGACATCCCTGCCGTTTCAACACAATTCATGATATTCCTGACCCAAGCGCTATTGAGGCCTGCCTTCTTTAGAGTGGAACTTATAAAACCCCAATCCAATCTATCGTAAGCCTTTTCGAGGTCAATTTTGAGAATCATGATCCTCGGTTGGCTCCTTTTGGTGCGACTGGTATGGAGAATCTCTTGATAGACCACAATGTTGTCCGTAATTTGCCTCTTGGGGACAAAGCTACTCTGGCACGGGCTGATAAGATCCTGCATAATGATTTTTAGCCTATTTGCCATAACTTTTGTAATGAGCTTGTAGGCTACATTGCAAAGGCTTATTGGCCTTAGCTGAGTTACTCTTTCCGGGTTTTGGACTTTTGGAATAAGGACCAAGTTGGTTTCATTGAGCCCATCCGGAAGCGTACCCCTGCTGAAAAAGTCTTCCACCAAACTGAAAAGGTTATCTCCCACAATATTCCAAGATTGTTGGTAAAACATCGCATGGAGGCCATCTGGGCCCGGTGCCTTTAACGGGGCCATCTCCATAAGGGCATTCTTTACTTCCTCCTTCGTTACACTGGAATTAATTCTTTCCCATTTCCTCTCATCAATAGCTGGAAACCTGCTAATACAATCTTCCAAATTGTGCTCCCTATCCTCCCGAGAGTACAAGGACTTGTAGTAATTCTGGATCAACGCTAGAATTTCCTCTGTATCGTGAACCCACTCATCATTTCCATTCTTGAGGCCATGTACCTTATTCCTTGTCTGTCTAACCTTTGTTGCTGCATGATAAAAGTGAGTGTTCCGATCCCCGGACTGAATCCAGTCCTCTTTTGATTTTTGGAACCATTTTATCTCTTCTTGGTGGAGGGTGTCTTCCAATTCCAATCTCAACTTCTTTTCCAATTTGATGAGCCCATTCGAAGGTTGGCGGCCCATGGCTCTTTGAATACCGTCTAATCTTGATATCAGCTTTCGTTTTCGATTTTCAATATTCCCGAATACTGTTTTATTCCAATCCATGAAGCCATTCTGCATACTATTTATATTTTCCATAATAGACTTGTCTCGACTCCAGCAACTCTCTGTTACTTTCATAAATTCCTCATGTCTCGTCCAAGCTGCTTGAAAGAGAAACCTAGGCCTCTTACTCGCCGTTGTTTTCCTTCCAACTTCGATCAAGAGAGGTGAGTGGTCCGAGCACACTCGAGTTAGGTGCGTTACTTTGGTTCCTGGTTGTTGCATAATCCACTCCATATTACAAAGAGCCCGGTCCAGCCTCACTCCAGTGAAAGTTGTTGATTCCCTTCCTCACGTCCAAGTGAACCTGGGACCAAAAAAACCCAAATCAATTAATCCTTCTTTGAAAATCCATTGGTTCAAGGTATGATAGTACTTTCTATTTTCTCCTTTTAGCATTTATATATCCCTCTGGGGGGCTGGGAGGGTGATATGTTCTTTACTATTAGAATTGATTTAGTTCCTTTAGAAATAGCAAATAATTATGGTAAGGAGCTTTAATGATTCTCCTTTCCTTTTATGTTTTAGTTAGTCTTTGTTTCCTTTTTCTAGATCAGTTTAGTTAGTTTCTATATTAGCTTATTTAGTCTAAGTTTCCTTTTGTTAACTTTAGGAAAGTGTAACTCTCTGCTATAAGAAGAGAGGTTTGTGTTGCTAATGAATTAAGCCAGAATTTATAAGAAAACAAGGAGAAGGAAACTCCATAAAACCCTCTTTATCTTTTCTGTACTTCTGCTGTCCAATGCCTCTTCCACCATAGGCAAACCAGTGCCAACCAAATCACCCCTCCCTCGCCCCTTGACACGTGCTTTTGCCCGGGAACACAACATTTTGGTTCCGTTGCCGGCCGTCAATATGGGCGAATTGAAGAAGCTCCAAGACGAGATGCGGGACATCCACTTATCTCTGCAGAAACTGGAACACCTGCCAGCCACCGTGCAAAAACTGGAAGAATTACCTGCTACCGTTCAAACTTTGTCTGAAGCCGTTGCACACCTCACGGCGGTTGTGAACTCCTTTGTCGCAAACCCTCATCTCCCAACGACCTCCACTGCTGTCACGCACTCTACCTCTAGCCACGCCACTCCAGAAACTGCCGTCCTAACACCACCAGATCCCACTCCATCCACTCGTGTCACCCGACTTGAGTTTCCGAAGTTTTCAGGCATAGAAGACCCACTCGTGTGGTTACATCGCTGTGAATTGTTCTTTGACAAATCCCCCCTCAGCGACCATGAGAAAGTCTCCACAGCAGCCTACTATATGTTTGATGTGGCGCAGCTCTGGTTCAAAAAACGCCTCCAGGATGGCCAACAGTTTTCTTGGGCGCAATTCAAAGAGGCTTGTAATCTTCGCTTTGGACCTCCTCGCAGCATCAACCCCCTGGGTGAACTTGCGAACCTCAAACAGAACAGCAGGGACTTTGAGGACTTCATAGATGATTTCCAGACCCTCCTAGCTAGAGCGGACAACGTCCTATACTCCCAACAAGTAAGTTTATTCACTGCAGGCTTGGATGAGGTTCTACGTATAGATGTTGAAAGGATGCGGCCAGTTTCTCTTGATGAGGCCATTAACATAGCACGTGATTATGCTCGTAAAGGCCTCCTGCTTCACCATGCACCTCCCCGGCAACCTGTCCCATCCCAGACACCACCTAGTTGCGCTATAACAGTGCACCAACAGCCACAATCACGCCCTCCTCGGTTCCATAAACTCTCCCCAACAGAAATGATGGAGCGCCAAAAGCTAGGCCTGTGCTATAATTGTGACGAAACATGGGTAAAGGGCCATCGTTGCAAACAACAACTATACATGCTTGGCTTTAATGGCGAAGGGGACGATGAGCCATTTTACCCACCGGCGCCAGACTAATCCATTCCCATTTTTTCTTGATTTCAAGCTTGAGGGCAAGCTTGATGTCCAAGAGGGGAGTAATGATATGTTCTTTACTATTAGAATTGATTTAGTTCCTTTAGAAATAGCAAATAATTATGGTAAGGAGCTTTAATGATTCTCCTTTCCTTTTATGTTTTAGTTAGTCTTTGTTTCCTTTTTCTAGATCAGTTTAGTTAGTTTCTATATTAGCTTATTTAGTCTAAGTTTCCTTTTGTTAACTTTAGGAAAGTGTAACTCTCTGCTATAAGAAGAGAGGTTTGTGTTGCTAATGAATTAAGCCAGAATTTATAAGAAAACAAGGAGAAGGAAACTCCATAAAACCCTCTTTATCTTTTCTGTACTTCTGCTGTCCAATGCCTCTTCCACCATAGGCAAACCAGTGCCAACCAAATCACCCCTCCCTCGCCCCTTGACACGTGCTTTTGCCCGGGAACACAACAGAGGGGGTGTTTATTACTATAATTTTTATCCTCCACCCACTAGGTAAAAGCCTCTAATCTTACATATCAGCTTAACAGTATATTAGAGAGAGAGAGAGAGAGAGAGAGAGAGTACCTGCATCATCTTGAAGTACATGCATGTTAAATCTACCTCTGTTTTGCTTTGCAGATGCATTTTGATAGTTCCTATGGAGCTTATTTTGATTATGGAAATCACACTGAGAAGGTTTGCTACTGTATATTGATGATTTTCCACATTTGATGGAGTTGTGCTAATCTTACTGCCCCCATCTTTTTGGAACTTCTTTGGCTACTTCCTCGTTGTCTCTGTCAATATCTCTGGATATACTAGGGTTAGCAAAGGGAATATGTTTTATTCTGAATGATCATCCTACTTTGTAGGTCCGGTTATCGTGGCAAACAGTCGGGGCAAGCAGCAACAATCCAAAAAGAGAGCTTCTGAGGGAAGTCTTAGAGAAGCCTGTATTGAGACTGGTTCCTCATGTTGGATACGTCAGCCTTTTCCCGTTAATGGCCAAGCTCATTCCTCCTGTAAAATAGCTCTTACAGTTAGTCGTTTTCCAGTATTTCTCATTTTAGATTTATCGTGATGTGGATTGACATGTTCACTTGCATACAGGAATCGTGGATATTAGAGAAACAGCTAGACCTGGTTTCAAATAGGAGCACGTTGTGGACAAATTTTGGTCTCAGGTCTCTTTCCAAAACAAGGTGGTGATACAAACAACTTTTTTTAATGTATAAATGAAAACGCTTTCCCTTAGGCCTGCATTTCATTTACAGAATATATTAATATACATGAGATCTCTCATATGTGACAGCTCCATTTATATGAAGCGCAACACGGAGCATGATCCTCCATATTGGAGAGGGCCGATTTGGATGCAATTTAATTACATGACTCTTGGCGCACTTCATCATTACTCCAGAGGTACACTCTCACGAAGTTGTGAATCACTCTTATCCCTTCCCCCCCCTTCTTATGCTATCCGACTCAAATCATTTTGTATTCATAGAAGTCATTCATCTTCCCTTTCCCTACTTTTGAACATTGGAATAAAAGATGAGAAGAAAAAATAATTAAAAGGTCATGATCTTCCATGCATGATGCATCATGTGTGTGTGTGTGTTGATTTTGATTCCTCTTTGCCACCAAACCAAGAAACTACTTTTACTAAAATCCATTCCAATTATGATTCTGAGGTTTGAGCCATACTTAATCTCCTTTAAACATTATTGTAGAGCCTGGACCATACAGAGAGAAAGCCAGAACTATCTACCAAGAGCTAAGAAGCAATTTGATAAGGTATGTTTGTTGCATTCCAAGATTGTTTGGTGTGTTTAAAATGTTTGTGCATTTCAAACTACAATAAATGCAATCCCGTTGCAACAGAAATGTTGTCGAGAACTATCACAAGACTGGGTATCTGTGGGAGCAATATGATCAGAAGAATGGGAAGGGAAAAGGTGCGCGATTTACCGGCTGGACGGCCCTAGTGCTTCTGATCATGTCTGAATCTTACAATGAATGTTAGAGATGGCATATTTCTCAAGGCAGAGTTGAGGTTTCCCTTTAACATATAGAGCGAGCTACATTTAACTATTTAGGTATGAGATCAATGTTAAGTAGATGCCTGCTTTATCTTCTCTTCCTCCATTTCATACTTGTGGGGAATATACACACCAGAACAGTACATTTTTGAATAGTGTGAGGACTGATTGCTTGCTTAAACCTTTTCAATACCTTTCACCTATTCAAGATCCCTGCATTTACTAAAAGAGTCTTAAAAAGAATTGAACTTGTGACCTTCTTATGCTCCACTCACTTGAGCTGAGCACCCTTTTTGGGGTTTCTGCCGCATGTTTTATTTTATTAGAGAATATTAAAAAAAAAAAAAAAAAAAAAAAAAAAAAAAAAAAAAACTAAAAGAATAAAAATTGACTCACATTATTATTATTATTATTATTATTATTATTATTATTATTATTATTATTGGGTGTTAACCAATGTGTGCTATGTCAATGAGGAATAAAAAGTAAAAGTATGTGTAATATTATTTGAAAGAAAAAGAAACAAAAAAAAAAAAAAAAAACTATGTCTTTTTTTTTTTTCGTGTTAATCATGTTAGTAGACAGTATGTAAGTAGAGAGTGAAAAATAAAAGTAAAGGTACTATTATTCCAAGTAGAATCCCTATAGAGAAGCACAAAATCAAGTAAACCCATTTGGAACTTTTCTTCATTACAACAAATTCTTTTTACTTTTGCATAATTTGTATAATAAACATCTACAAATATAATATCAAACAAACTATTATTCCATCTGTCTCATCTTGTTTGTCATACTTACTATTCAGTGGTTAAATCAATTCTTTCTAAACATAAATTTTGTATACTAATACTAAACTTAATATTATGAAAAATTGAATTAAAAATAACTTGGCTCATTAACCGAATCAGACACATAAAATGAAACAGAATGAGTATATTAATTATAAGTAAAGTAATATCACAGAAAGTATTATATTTATAAGTCAAACAAATCCACACATGAAACCAATCTCATCCATTATATTGGAAGATTTTGGATCCATGATGTATATATATATATATATATATATATATATATATATATATATATATATTTCAATTTCATATTACACTTGTATTCACATCAAGTGAAATTAGACTATATATATAGCCCTAATAGCCGTATAGTATATTATCAGTTAGTAGAGACAAAATCACAGAGATAATAAGAGCCTGGAATTCAGGATTAAAACATGCAAGATATGTGAGCAAATGACTTTTAAGGAAAACAAAAAAGTGGTGGTTTCATTAATGTCAGCCAAACATCACATGAAAGTTCTCTTCCTGATAGGGTAAACAGAGGTCCCGACGCATCCTACTTCTTGGAGGTTTTCTTCTTAGAACTAGAGTTAGCGGCCTGTGGTTTTGGGTGCTTTTCGGCTTCAACCGGATCCAACCAGTTGAGAGGGTGGCGATTGAAAGCGGGCCAGTTTGGAATGGTGATCAAAGACGTGAGCACAACACCGCCTGCATAAATCAATATCATGGTTTGAAATGAACCCAATATGTAGCCCCCGATGAACGCCACAAAAGCAGATGACACCAGCAGTATCTGCATCAGTTGCTCCGCTAGCTTTTGCCCTTGCCAATCCATCTATTGATAGGCACCGGAGGAAAACAAACAGTATGTGAACACCTTAGTCCTTGTATAGGCATATGCATATGCAGATTATAGTTACAGTGAACACTTTAGTTCATAATTTGATAACATATGCTAAGAGCATATATTACCATTTTACAACATTTGAGAAATAATAATAATTTAAAAAAAAAAAAAAAGGATTTCCTTAATTCTATACATAAAAATCAAGCTACCAGCTGATTACAACAAACAAACAACAAGACTAAAAATAATCCATCCAACAAAGAAAAGAAATTAATCTCTTCTCATTTTCTGTACCCATTCCTCTAATTAGCACAATCAATTTCCATGCAATTGTTCTAATGGATTAATCTGATATATGGTTGAGTTCCATTAATCTAATATCATGATGGAAATTACATATTAAAATAATCCACATTTTACATGTTATGCAAAGATTATGATTTATGAATAATGGATTGTACTCCGTACTTAAGTTTTAGCCAATTAAGATAATAATTCACAAGTAACTTTGGAGTTGATTATGAATCATTCACACCATAATCACAAACTATAATCCAGATCTATAATCATAAGCCTATGCAATATACAGCACATTCTATGCAAATTATATCAAAGGCTACAGAGAATCAGCTAATTACACAAAAATATAGAGCAAATTACACATTTACACGGATTCATCGAGAGAACTAATCGTAAATCAGAAAATCGAAATTCAAATTGAAACCGGAAGAGAAAAAGGCATATGCTGTAATCGAAATCCGCCCTAACCAATCAACCGATTACACAAAACGCACAGAAATTAAATTTTCAATTCGTTTTAGGTCATTCCTTGACGCATTGATTCAAATAGCCCTAAAAATGTGTTTTCGATTACGGAACCGGAAACGCAGATCTGCAAAGAATTGTAAATACGAATTCGAGAACTGATCAAAGAAATTTCACTACATCCCGGTCTTTAAAATATGGGAGCACTATACACACACACAGAAAGAGAGAGAGAGAATTGGACTAACCGAAGAAGCGAGCAGTGCAGAGGCGATGAATGTCTGAAATGCGAGCAGTAATGAACTTGACTTGTAGAATTAACTGTTAGATCAACGCATACTCATTGGGTTTTGCTGACTAGTACCTACAATTCAATCCAAATTACGGAGTAGTCCCTAAAAGGAATTACTTTGCCTTTTTGCCCCTCAAATATAGATATTCTATAAATTTTGCCTCCAATATTTTCATTAGGATATCATATTCTTTTCTTTTTGGAATAAGGTTCAAATTGGCCACTGAACGTAACCTGAAAATGCAATTAGGCCACTGAACGAAAAAAAAGTGCAATTAGGCCACTGAACACTCCAAAAATGTGCAATTTCACCTGATAGCAGGTTACCCTCAATTTTAGCTAGGGATGACAATGGGTCGGGTGTGGGTCGGGGAGGGCTACATCCATCACCCGACCCACCTTATATTTTTTTCACTCACCCCCACCCCCAACCCGCATCGGGTGAACTTTTTCAAAATCCACCCCAACCCCACCGGGTGCGGGTGCCCACTACGGGTACCCACCACTTATCATTTTATTATTTTTTTAAAAAAATAATATTTAAATTACTTACACATAATAAAATAATAAAATTCATTAGTGGTACTAAAATATAAAATAATAAATATTTAAATATAATAATTAAATTGTTAAGTTTTAAAAATAAGCTTAGTAGTTTAGATATAAAAATAGTAAAAAGATACACAAAGTTATATAAACTTTTATAAATAACTACATACTAGTACTTATTTTACTATTATATATATAGACACACACACATGGTGGGTCGGGTGGAATTCTAGGCGGGTTTTGTATATAGAACCCGAACCCAACCCGACCCACTGCGGGTTTACTTTTTTAAGTCCCACCCCCGACCCACCACCCACCATCACCCCAAAAAACCCGACCCATGCGGGGTGGATTCGGGTGGATATCCGCGGGGCGGATTGAAATTGCCATCCCTAATTTTAGCAGGTTATCTGCTTACGTGGCAGCTGAGTTGATATTTTTAATAAATTTTAAATCATTTTTAATAAATTTTAATAATAAATTTTTATTTAAAAAAATTTAAAAAAAAATAAAAACGACTTTATTTTATTTTTTATTTAATTTTATTTCAATTTTTTATAAAATTTATTATTAAAATTAATTATTAAAAATTATTAAAAATGCCAACTCAGCTGCCACGTAAGCAGGTAACCTGCTAAAATTGATGGTAACCTGCTATCCGGTGAAATTGCATACGTTTGGAGAGTTCAGTGGCCTAATTGCACGTTTTTGGAGTGTTCAGTGGCCTAATTGCACTTTTTGTTCGTTGAGTGGCCTAATTGCATTTTCAGGTTACGTTCAGTGGCCAATTTGAACCTTATTCCTTAGTTTTTTGATCATTCATAATCGCTAACAAGAATTCATTTCGGTCAATTGAACTTTCTCGAATTCTTTTTCAAAACCAAAAAGATTTGTGTCAAAATACTATTTCTGTGTCCCCCATTAGGATTACTAGTTCAATAGATCCGTATCAACCCCCGATGCATCTGCTATGTTTATCTCATACCCCTTTTTTCTTTTCATATGATTTTGCTTATCTAATCAGTCCAATCATTTATCGTGCAATTTGAAAATTTTGCACTGAACAATAGGTTTACTCCCTATAAATATGCACGGCAACCTCTTCAGAATATCTATGTAGTACAAAAAAAATGAAAATAAAACTATGTCAAACTTTACAATATGAAATATACTTAATTTTTTTTACTGCCAACAATGTGAAATTTCCATCATTTAGTCACCTTTTGAAGGTCTTTAAAATATTATATGACAAAAGTTAATAATTTTAATTATATTTTATCTAAATATAACACTTCCACTATGTCAATGATATTGATAAATCACACCATTTGATATTAAATTAGTGTTGGAGTGTGCTTATTTAATAACCCATATAAATCCACCATTTTTTCTGCGAAAAAGCAATTTTAAGAAAATCCAAAGCAAATCAAAACAGATGAAGCTCATCAATAATGTAAAACAGTATATCATTTTTAACCTTAACATACAAAATTAACTCCATAATCTCTTCAGAAAATTTGAATAGTGACAATCCACTACCAATACAATTCTCAACATAAAGTAGGGGATATGTAAGAAACACAGCTCTATCAAGGCTCAGGAACAACAAATATGGAAAAGAAAGCCTAAGCCTTCCTGGATTTGGTGGTTGCTATTTGTGACTCAGGCTGCAAAAGAAGAAAAAAAAAAAGAAACTGAGTTAAACTGAACACTACCATAAGCAAGAAAATAGATAGAGTTCTATGTTGTAATGACTTGCCTCCTTCTTGACAGGTTCTTCCTTCTCAGAAAGGATTAACTCAATGTGGCAAGGGGAAGACATGTAAGCTGCAAACGAATCAGAAATGGCAATTTAGTAATTTGTATGGAGAGGTGAAAGATGGTGAATCAAAAAGAATGAAGAATGGCACGTACGGTTAATTCTTCCGTGAGCACGGTATGTGCGCCGCCTCTGCTTCTGGGCTTGGTTAACCTGGACGTGGGAGATGTAAAGTGTATCCACATCGAGCCCTTTCACCTGCAAAACAGCTTCACGTGTTAAATAGTGCCAAGGAGAACATGGTATATTGGTTTGAATTACTAATGGGCTAAATGATGACACCTCAGCATTGCTTTCAGCATTCTTGAGCAAATCGAGAATGAACTTGGCAGATTTCACGGGCCACCTTCCCTGTCCATTGGGATGCCTGTTCTTAGCCTGAGCAGTCCTTCCAACACCACGGCAGAAGCGGGTAAAGGGAATGGCCTGCTTGTGGGCCAAAACATCTTCTAGATACCTTTTAGCCTTTACCAAAGGAAGCTTCCTGATAGCATGTGCTGTTTCCCTAGTGTTCTGAAAAAATACAGACAAAACTAGTTTTAAACAAAACCCAGACGTAACCTGTTTACTAACATGCAATTGTGCCTAAGCAACAACGCGAAACATCAAAAAAAAAAAAAGTAATGAATTGGTTCAAAAATAATAATATATATCAAGAAATGGAAGACAGCAAAACAAAAGATGAAGTCCTAAAAGAATTTAAGGAAGATGATTGTTGAAATCTCAACAAGAGGATGAAACACAACTGCCCATCTTCCCCAATATATAGTTTTGCAGAGAACTCTTTCGATCAAAGTACATTTATTAAGAGGCACAAAGTCGATACACACAATCTCTGCTTACAATAGACAAACAATACAAAAAAAAAAAACATATCTATAGCACACCTGAAAATATGCATTTCAAGTATAGCAAAGGAAACTAATGATCATAAATAACACTAAACACACAGTGGAAGAGTTCCAAGCCTTACATCTAGAGACAAGCAACTCTCAAATAATTAAAACTTCTTCACTAATTCAAATGCAAATTTATAACTTGGATGCAAAAAAACACTAAATAGTCAAACAAGCCGTAGAATGGAATAGTACATTAGACAGAAGATTGCTCAAGTAAAATGTAAGGAAGATGATTGTTGAAAGATTTCAACTAAGGATAAAACACAACTGCCCATCTTCCCCAATACACAATTTAGCAGAGAACTCTTTCGGTCAAAGTGCATTACTTAAGTGTCACAAAGCCGATACACACATATCCCTGCGTAACTAAGATAAGCCTACCATAAGCAAAAACAGGAGCGCCAAAATTCCTACTAACTAATAATTTGATTAAAAAAATACAACACAAATATCAGTAAGGGTATTTAAAGAAAAGATGTCAAAATAACATATCATATATAACATGTAACATCATTTACTGAACCATCTATCCTTGTCCACAAAGGACTCCAGAGGTTCACCCAATAACAATGCAAATTTATTTCCCTGGCTTATACGAGAGACCCATTCACAGAAGGCAACAGGTCCCTGCTTTTAAATCAGGTAACCACAACACAATAAATTGATTAAAAAGCCAATCCAACATGGAGAATGCACACTTTGATCTCAGTGCATTTAAAGAAATAATGTCAAAATCAAATAACATATACTACATGTAGCATCATTTACTGAACCATCTATCGTTGTCCACAAAGCACTCCAGAGGTTCACCCAAGAACAATGCAAATTTATTTCCCTGACTTCTACGAGAGACCCATTCACGGATGGCAAAAGGTCCCTGCTTTTTTAATCAGGTAACCCCAACAACCCAAAATCAATTACAGAAACTATACATACACACACTACCATTGACCAAACTAAACTTTAATTTACACCAGTAACTAAACATACATTTAGAGACACCGTAACAGCAAATACTGATATACAAATCCCTACCAAATTGAAATAAAGATGAAAACATAAACATAGTTTACAACTATCGGAATCGAAATATTACCTTGAAATGAACTCTGAGATCTGAGCCCCTAGCTTTGCAGGCTGCATCCAGAAACAACCACATAACAGTTAGAAATCAAACGAAATCATGAACAGAAGAACAATATAGAGTTCAAATGAACAGAAGAGAAAGAAGAAGAGCTTACATTTGGTGGGATTATCGGGCTCCCTCGAGTACTTCACCATGGCGCCTGCTGCTTCGGCTGCTGCTTCAGAAGCGAGATTAGGGTTTGCTCCTTCCTGCTTTCGAGCAAAGAGATGGACGCTCGAGCTTTTATATAATAGCGATAGCGATATAAACCCTACGCCATAGCGGATGGTCCAGTTTATGGATCAGTTGTAGTTCAAGCCCATAACCCATGGGCCTTAGATAATTGGCTTTTGATAGGTAGGATGTTAGCATCGCCAATTATATTTTGGACTGCGGTCCTGATACGGTTAACCGATTGTGTATTTTTTTGTATGTTAATTATCAACTGAAACTATAGTGTATTTAAATTGATGTTGTCTCATGTATTATTTTTATATTATCAAATGAAATTGTAATTGAATTGAAATAAAACTATAGTGTATACAAAATGAAACTAAATAACAATTTCACATATTTGAGTGTATATTGCCCAGCGAAACTGTAATTATATCATAATGATACTGCAATGGTGTTGAATTGAAACTGCAGTGTATATAAAATGAAATTGAATAATATTTCACATATTTGAGTGTATATTGTGCAATGAACATGTAATTATATCGAAATGATAATGTAGCTGTGTTTTAATGAAACCATAGTGTATATAAAATGAAACTAAATAACATTTCACATATTTAAGTGTATAATATCAAATGAAACTGTAGTTATATCAAAATGAAATTGTAGTTGTGTTTAAACGAAAGTGCAGTATATACAAAATGAAACTGAATACCAAAGTTATTTTTTGCGGAACGGCGTGAAACTATGACCATTTATTTTCATTAAACAAAACGACGTCGTTTAGAAGGTCGGTGCTAATCCATTATGCATCGCGGTCCATGATATAATTTGCCATGTTAGTATTGAGACAATTATGAACTTATGTGAACCATAAATATAAAAATATATTATTTGCGTACATAAAGTACATTATAGTTTGTATATTATCAAATAATGTATATTTAGTACATAATAATACATTTGTAATATATTAAAATTGTATCTTATATTTAAAGAAAGTACATTATCTCTGTATTGAATGTATATTATATTATATATATTCAATACACAAATCATATACTATTAATATATTAATTATTTTTTTTTTATGATTTATACATCACTGTGTAAGCTGTGATATCTACTATCTACTATATCTACTATATTAATAAGAGCCCAAGAGAGTTAGGCCTATAATGGGTAGAAAAAATGGCGGTCACAGATTTTAATCAAATGAATGGCTCAGATTGATTAAAAGATTGATAAGATTTAAATTTTACACTAAAATTTCCTAAAATACCCACACACCGTTACTAATTCCGTTAAAATTTTAAGAATTGCCGTTAGTTCACCGTTAACTTACTCATTGATTTAAAAAAAAAAAAAAAAAAAAAAGGTCTTAGGTTCGAACCTCATCTCAATCAAAGTTAGCATAATTAGTACTCTATTTTACTCTTATTAAATTATATATATAAATAATAATTTAGTAGCTACAACAAAAAATTATAGATATGCATTTCTTTAATTTAGAATTATGTGTCCACAATGCCTTTATTCAAAAAAAAATTATTCATTATCAATAAATTAAATAAGAGAAATAATTGTATTAGTTATATTATCTTTATTTTTCTACAATATAAAAATTCTTTATATTCAAATTTATTAATTGATTATATTCGCTACATTGTCCTTACAATGTCTTAATTCAGTGAAAAAAAAATTATTCATTATCAATAAATTAATTAAGAGAAATATTTTCATTAGTTATATTGTCTTTATTTTTATCAAATGTAAAAAATTTTACATTCAAATTCATCAATTGATTATATTCACTACATTGTCTATTATCTTTTTTGTGCACTATTTTTCTAATTAAATATCAAAGTTATAATACAAAATAATGCTATATATTTATTTACCAAATATTTTATTAATACCATGAAAAAATTAAAAAAATATATAATTAATAAAGCCAACCATATTAACTACTTGAGAGATTTTGTGACAAAGAGAGTATTCAAATCACACAACAATTTGAAGTGAGAACTACCCTGCAATGTCCTTGTTTGACAATCAACAGTTAGCGGATTTGACCAACGAATTTATTTAATTATTAACATTGGGTAGAAAAAATGACCGTCAAATTATTAAATCAAATGAATGGTTCAAATTGTTCAGGTTTTAATTTTTTTAAAAATTTTTCTAATTTATCCTTAATTATATGATTATCCATTTAACTTTTCCGTTAAATACTGTTAATTCACCGTTAGTCTAATTCTAATATTAACGTCTAATATAGAATTATAATTACACCATTAATCTAATTCTAATATTAAAGTCTTAATAAAACTTAACCACAAATCCTAATGTCGAAATCTCCTCAAACAATATTAGTATATATTTAATATTTTATGCCCTAATTTTTATTTGTTCTCCCTTATGTCCCGTATTTGGTTTCAACCATACCTATACAATTATTTTATTGACAATTATAATCAATCTTGACTATATTATCTTGCATTTGTAAACTTAGAATTACCTATTTAACCCGCACGGGCTTAGCTCAATGGTTTAGTGGGCAGTATTTGGGAGAAGAGACCAAGGTTTGAACCTCGGCGGCGGCAGTGCGGGAATTATGTCCAAAGTGGGCAGATTCCTTGTTCGCACCGGCATTTGGTCCTGTTTGCTGAACCATTGAGTCACCATGATTTACAACTTCCTACAATGCTCTGTCGGGTCAGAGTGTGGGGGGCCCTTGGGGTAGGGGACTCAGGGAGAAGAATTACCTATTTAAATACGCAAATTCAACCTTCAATTATCTATGCATGAACAATTTCAATATAATATTGCCTTAATATACTTTAAAGTACTTATTTAAAAAAAACATTGGGCATTATTCCAATCGCGCAATGCGCCTAAAAAACTAGTTTATATATATATATATATATATATATATATATATATATATATATATATATATCTACATAATAATTAGCCTCATTGAGATTAATGGGCTCTTGGGTCATATTCAGTGTTCACTAGATCGCTCAACCATGAATGTGTTGGCCCAAATTAAAAACTCAACTATTATGGATAGTGATATAAACCCGGCAAATTATGCTATGCATCCGGCCATGCATGGTGCATACGGATGCAAAAATGACGTCGTTTTAATAAAACTCGTGTCTCTCCTTAAAAAAAAATCAGGTTCGATTCTCAGCAACAACATATGAACCAAAATTCCATAATCAATGAACTATAATTCCATAATCGAGAAAATTTCAATTTTGGTCATACGACTATAGGGGCCTTGTTAATTTCAACACCTAACTTTCAAAAATATCAATTCAGTACTTTGAGTATGTAATTTTTCTCAATTTTGGTCATTCCGACCAATTTACCGGTCAAATTCAACCGGAAAAAATAATAGGCACAAAACTGAGGGGCAAATGAGTCTTTTCATCTCGGCTACTTCATCTTCTCCTCCTCCTCCGCCGTCGCCGACCACGACCGCCCTGACCAGCGGCGGCAAAGTTCCGGCTGGAACAGAAAGGTTTCCTCTTCTTCTTCTTATTCTTCTTAACGCATATAACCACACACCCTATGGACCCAGACAAGATAAAATCTGTTACCTGACTTACATTTTTGTAATTTTCCTGTTGGGCAATATGCTGGATGAATCAGAGTTTGGGGTAACTTTTCCGCTTTCTTTGTCGTGTAGTTTCTTCGATTTCTTGGCCATTACGGATTTTTGGTTCGGAATTGGATAGAGTAAAAATTCACTTTCATGGCCACCGAAAAGCTCGACGGCGTGGACGAAGCGGGCACGAAGGGTGCTGATCCAACGCATTTTGAGGGCCGCATGCTCTGCTTCACAGAAAGCTTAGCGAGAAATGTCGATCTCATCATCATCATCATCATCCCGTGAGAAGCTGTTTCTGCGTCTTGGTCCTTCGTTAAGAGACTCTTCAGCTGCGCCGCCACCCGTCAATCCCGTCGCCGTGTTCCTCCTCTAGATCCCTGACGAAACCCATCGTTATCCCGCTAGCCTCGCCGGACAAGCTCTCCCCTGATCCTCTTTCCGATATCTGCTCCGACCAACCCAACATCCCGCTCCGGAACAATATCTACCCATGTACCCTCTGCGGCGAGATTTTCCTCGCCACCAATCTTCTCGAGCAGCACCAGTTCATAAAGCACGCAATTTCGGAGCTCGTTGATGGAGATTCCGGCAACAACATTGTCCAGATCATATTCAATTAGGAGCAGAGCATGAAAAGACTCATTTGCCCCTGAGTTTTGTGCCTATTATTTTTTCCGGTCGAATTTGACCGGTAAATTGGTCGGAATGACCAAAATTGAGAAAAATTACATACTCAAGGTACTGAATTGATATTTTTGAAAGTTAGGTGTTGAAATTAACAAGGCCCCTATAGTCGTATGACCAAAATTGAAATTTTCTCTTCCATAATTGATGAACTATAATTCCATAATCTAATCTATGAACTAAAAATTCCAGAATGAATGAACTAAAATTCCATAATCTATAAACTAAAATTTCAGAATCGATGAACTACAATTCCATAATCGATGAACTATAATTCAATAATCAATGAACTATAATTCCATAATCTATGAACTAACATTCCAAAATGAATGAATAATATAATGTTGTTGCTGGGAATCGAACCTGAATTTTTTTTAATAGGGAGACGCGCGTTTTTTAATAAAACGACGTCGTTTTGGCATCCGTATGCACCATGGTGCATACTGATGCACAGCATAACGGTTGTATAAACCCGACAAATTTTAGTTTGGATTATGCATCAAAACACGGCAATTTCAGCCTTTGTAGAAACGATAATAAAGGAAAAAAAAATGCTCTTCTATATTATAAATCTAACTAATTTCAGCCTATATAAGCTTCCAACACTATGACCTAAATTTAAACAAATTAATTAAATAAGTAAACACAATATTTACATAATATAATTAATTATAAATAATTTAACACCTTATATTTATATAATCTGTCATATTTTTGGCAGCCGATTTTCTTCCTATCACGCCAATAAAT